ATACATGTATATATATATATATATATATATATATATATATATATATATATATATATATATATATATATATATATATATATATATATATATATATATATATATATATATAAGGATAAATCTACATGTAGTACTTTTAAGAACACTTCTAGTAGAATTAAATTGATACTTTTGATCTAATTTTGATGATCTGCCTATATGACAAAATCAATTAGTTACTGTTTATTAAAAAGCACTTCCTTGACATACTTTGAATTTTTTTTCAGTTTGTGTTACAAAATATCAAGGACTTACAGCTCACGATCTTAATCTTAAAAGAGCAGGATAATAAGATTTGTCACATCAATCGGAAAATGAAAAACCACGAGAGTTTAGATTAAGAACTTTACTGTCAATTGACAGTGAATAAGGCGAATGTAATTTCCTTCGAATTTTCCAGTTCAAGCTAAAGGCGTTTAATTAAAAGCAGTTTCCTATGAAATGCACTAATCCAACTTTGTTGAAAATTTGAATAAAAAAGATTCTATTTGTACAGGACCTGTCAAACAGTAACAAGATCAGTAAAAAATTTTTAGGTAATATTTAGAAGCATATTCAATATTCAGATGTAATTAAAAATAATTAATGGGTTTAGAACTTTGCAGCAAATATAAATATGTTTGTATTAGTCTCGAAAGACAAGTTTATGCGATAAGATATCGTTATCATTGCAAGCTCAAACTATCACATATTAACTTACTTCTTGTGAGTACATTTTGTTGGAAATAAGAAGAACTCAATATAAGATTGAAACTTGTTTTTCAGTACATGCTTGTATCTATGTTGAGCAGTGATGCTGCTTGACATGTCTCAGAATGTATTAACTTTGATTTTTCAACATAAAATTCAAATTTTTTGGGTCGAAAATATCCAAACCAGATTACATTTTTAACACAATAAATATCTCTCTCTCTCTCTCTCTCTCTCTCTCTCTCTCTCTCTCTCTCTCTGGATTATTAAATAATGAACAATTAACTCTCATTTTACCTCATTTTCCATAAATAGAAAATGAATAAACAAGAAAAAAATATCCAATAGATATAAATCAAATTAAAAGGTAATTATTAAAGATAACTTAAGAAGTATTTGGCACATCTGTCTTGGTAACTGTTTTTTATTAGCAGTATTGACGATTCTGATAATATTTATTTGTCCAAAAATTAATTAACCGGGGTATGACACATTATTTCTAAGTGGACTTTGTCTGCTTCGTTTGTTTATTTTATATTTGCTATATTTAGTTTCATTTTATATCATTATTGTTCTATTAAGACAAGAGCTTTAATGTCTGTGATGTCATTACCTTGAATATAAATTTTCATAACTGTCTTTATGGTTATCGTTAGAAACCTTAGAGGAGTTATTTTTCAGTAACAAAAAAAAGAAATTCATCTGAATATGTAAACAACCATTAGTACATGTATTAAAGCTTAACATATTTCTATACAAAGAATGTCTTTACTAAAAGCTACTCACTTTCAAAGACATATGCCAGATCTCTGTTCACTTTGTTTCCAAACAAGAGATCTAAACTATTTCATTCCTTTTCAATTAACTAATAATATGGTTTCAAAAATATTTGTAAAGATGTCAATTTTTTAAGCCCGGCTAAGAATTGGTCGATGTATATTGTTCTACTTTTTTCATCCGTCTTTCTGTCATAGTTAAGTTTTTTTTTTCAGACTTTTTTGCAGTGCTGTAAGACAATGATATAATCTTTGGTATGTGTCTTTATTATGATGACTTGCAGATGAAGTTTAAGTTTCATATCAATTACCCAATTCACGAATGTTATTGCCCTGCCACTTCAATATTACTAATCGTTCATTGTTTTCTGATTTTTAACAGATGCTTGCAAACAAGGAGCTGATTTTTTAACCTCCTCTATATTGACGAATAACAGACCAAGTTGATTTCCATGTCAATTGACCTATTTTCACGAAAATAATTCCCCTAAAACTTGCCATAATGCACTGTTTTCTGAACTTATTGCCCTCTTGGAAATAATGAGCTAAAGGTTTGTTTTTTATATATACATATTTTTGACTTTCAAGACAGCCTGAGTTTAAAAATTTATTATTTTCAACATTTCCTGGCCTTTTTGCTATGTGTGTAGATGATGAGATGATTATGGTATGTCCTTTTATACGGATGGATTGTATATTAACATAGAGTTGCATGTCACTATGATCCATTTTTGCTAAAGTTTATGGCTTTAGACTATAAAATGTCTAATTATTCAGAATTTTCCCTTTAAAAGTTAATTGTCCAATTACATTAAGTTTCAGTTTGTCGTTACATTCAATTGAAGGTTACAATTTTTTTAAAATCAGTTTGATTGTGTTGTTTCATGTACTTGTAAATATGAAATTGTACTGCATATTACATAAAACAAACTTAAAATTTATATTTGTCCTAATTTATTACTTATAATGATTAAAATCTTAAACGTTTTGCTTATCGATAAAGAGAATTAGATTAATGAAAAAGGTGAAGATAAAAAACAGTGATCGATCTCAAAAACCTACAAACAATATAAATCTGTGAACAGGTAATAAAACACGGACCCCTGAAAATTTGAGAGATGGGATCATGTGCCTAGGAGGAGTAAGCATCCCCTGTCGACCGGTCAGACCCGCCCTGAGCTCTATGTATTGATCAGGTACACAGAATAATCTGTAGTCAAAGTATAAAAACAAAGGTCTAACAATTGGTATGAAATACGTCAGTCAAAATACGATCCGATTATAGGTTGGATTTGCTAACAAAATTATTGTACATGTAACGACCATAGAATTTAAGAAATGCTGACTTTAAACGATGTTGGTGGAATCCCTGTAACATCAACTTATTTCTCAGTAGCCTGCTTCGGCTTAAAAGTGATCGTACTCAGAGCATGTCATTGAGTATCGTTAAACACCATATGTAAGAGAAAGTGGAATATTACTATATAAATAAGGAAGTTGACGATTGAAAAGCTGAAGTGATTTCGTTTGTCATATAGTCTAGTTTTAGATGGCGTTTATCGTCTATAGTCAGTAAAACATTCATAGTAAGTAAAACATCCAAATATGAAACAGATGTGGCAGACTCGGTTGTGTCATGTATTTCGAGTTCACTGGCATATATTGAATCAACATGTGAATGGAAGTAACCATAGTTAATTGATAAAACGTGGTCGATAAATCTGAATGTCTAGTTGAAATCCACAATAAGTCTTCTTTTTTCTCAAGTAGTTTTTGTATAAATTCTGTTTCATAGTGTATCCAGGAAAGAGAAAAATGCGACGGACCAGACTGGCGTTCGAACCCGCGCCCCCCTGAATATCTAGTCAGGAGCTCTACAAGCTGAGCTATCTTGCCACCGGTGATCAAACTCGTCTGACCGCCACAATAGGAATATAAAGATAGGTTGGCCAATAAAGGAGCATAATTTGTGTCCAATGGATTTCCAACAGATTGTTGGAAGACCTGGTCTGCAAAGATTACATAGATGTTGCCAATGACGAACTCCAGAATCCCTTTAATATCAACTTCAGAGTACTTGTGCGTAGAATCAGATTGATTTTTCAACAAATAAAGTAATTTTGTAGATGAACAATCACAAAATAAGAATATTTTCAAGTTCCAATTTTATTAAAGAAGGAGTTGTCTTTGATACTAAAAAGACAATTTTTTAATTTATCATGAGGAATTGTTATATAAACACGTTGAAAAGTTATACGTTTTGATTCTACTGGCTTTTGAAAAATTGTGTGATTTTAAATTTTCTTAAAGTTCTTTGGAGTTTTTGAGAATCCACATTTGATTTACACTCCTTCTCAAATATGTTGTATCTGAAGTTTCTCCTTTACAGCAATTTATGTTCTTGTGGGGAGTAAGGATGGGAAATAAATAATAAACAATACCTTGGATGTATACTTACCAGTAATTGTTCCTTGATGAATGACATAATGACGATGTCGATCTAATACAGTGTGGTAAGAGCATGATAAGTGAAAACTAAAGTAAACATCTACAAATGTATATATTTTCTTATGATTGTTTGCTAAAAAAAATTATGCTCTTATTAGTTGCTTTTTTAATGAAGTTTCTTATTTTCCAACGCAGAAAAACTTTAACCGTCAGTTGAACTGTGTTCATAACCCGCGAGATATGTTATTTGAATAATTAAAATTGGCACGTTTTTTCAACCTCCGAGCGATCACCAGGCATCCAGAAAAGTGTTAGTATAGAACTCAAGAGGGATGCTGCATTCGTTAAATATTGTTCTTTTTCATCATTGAAAACAAATGAGTACGTTAATGATATGGATGATTTAATAAGAAATTATCAAACTTCTCCAAATTCAAGGCAAGACCTAACAAATGTTCGATTTGTAATCTTGTGAAGACGAAAATCTATAATCGTTATGATCATATAATTGATAACTGTTATAAATTAAGTAGTTCGTGCGCAATAACTGATATAGAATCGCTCGCATAACAAGCGTTTCTGATCAATAATCATAGTATTTAGTCCGTGTATATATAAAGAGGAGAGCGAAGGGGAAAAGAACGTGTGTTCTACTTTGTGTAAAGTGCTTTTTTCTCTTTGTTTAAAAACAAATTCTCCATCTGTCTCTGTGATCCTTTAACACTTTCCGATTAATTATAGCTGTGATTTCATGATATTATTTCAATTCCAATTAATTGTAGCTTTGATATTATTTCAACAGTAACTGACTGTTTTGAATATCACTGATTTACACTTGACTATTTTGTTATATACATGTACTACAAAAACAGAGAAATTTTTGGGATCTAGCTAAATATTTTTCATTGGATATTCGGATTCCTCTGCTGCACTTAATTGCCACCAAGAGCTAACTTTTTCCTAATTTTACTTGAAGGAGGGCACCTGCTTTAACATAAAGAAAAGGAACAAAGTGTTCTAATTAAACATGGAATCTCACAGAAAACAACCTACAAATTAAAAACAAAAGACAGACAATTCGTCTTTACATAAATAGTGTATAATAGTGTATAATAAGGAGACATTAACCGCAAAGTGAAGTTGTACAGCGCTATAGAAAAACGATGACTGGGAATTTTAGTCTGTTTCAGAGTCCTGTGTATAAACGATACCATGCTTGGTCCGAAACACAGTGCATCAAAAACGTGATATCCAAATCTCCACCTGATGATGGTGAGTGCATATATATTGTATTTAATTTAGTTATGTTAATTGTTAAATTAAATGGTCATATGTATATATTTTTTATTTTCAATTAAAAGAAGGGCAAATTTATAACCAACGTGCTTACGTATTTTTTTTAAAAGAGCTTAAAATAAAATATAAAATATCTTTTATTAACTACAATTATTTATTATTGCTACAATTATTTTAGAACAAATACCTCCTCATTCCATTGAAGTATAGAATATGTGATTTCCGCAAAATATTTTACTACGACATCAGTCGTATATTAACCGGATGTAAAACACACATACACATACAGAGAGAGAGAGATTACAACTTACTTCCATCTAATTTTTTTACCTACAGTATGCATCTTTCTTTAATATGATTTAAAAAGAACATTTCTCAGTTAATATAAGAGTAGTAGACTTTTCAATCATCCCTTGTGAAGACTTATATTACTTAGATTTTCAGCTTCTTGCTTAGTTTAGAAAAAGGGGGAAACTTGGGAACGCTAAAGTCCTAGAAGAAATCAATCCATAATTCCCACTCCCCTCTTTAAGTTATACTGACATAAAGAACAGCAATCATGCTCATTGAAAACAAACGGACCTTTAAAGAAAATAAATACGGGATCAGGTACAATAGAGGAGTAAGCAACCCCTGTCGACTGGTCACATCCACCGTGTGTTCTTTGTTATGATTAGGTAAACAGAGAATCCATAGTCAATTCAGTATGAAATAATGTCCAAACAATTTGCATGATAGTCAGTAAACGTTTGAGCAAATGGCAAACTATATTTGCTAACAAGGACTCTGTATCGACCCTAGAATTTGCGAAATATTGACTTCAAAAGAGATTATTGTTAATCTTGTATCATCCGCCGTTTTGTCAGTAGCCTTTCTCTCTTATCAAGATTGTTCTTCGTAGGAAGAACATGCTTTTGCGTACAGTATCAACTGTGAGACATGAACACAATATGAGACCTTAAAAACCGAGGCCCCGTATCACGGCAGGCGTTGGCACGATAAAGATCCCTCTCTGGTCAATGGCCCTGAGTGTAGAGTAAAGGTCTTAATTTGAAGCCCTTCACCGGTACATGGTGACGTTTCTTTATGAGTGAAAAATTCTCGAATGGGACGTAAAACAACACACAATCAATCAATGAACCCAATATGAGGGTGATATTAGTATATTGCTACATTAATAAGGGAAGTTGACGATAGAAAATATGAATACATCACATTTGATTATAAAGTTAAGTTGTTAGGATGCCATCAATGTTTTTTCTCTAGTGAGGGTACTGAACAATAGAAAAGCAAAATTAAAGACGTTTCATTCCATGAAAATTAAGATGATATTTTATACACCATATATAAATATGTAAGAGAAAATTCTTTTCAGTGTCACATTTATACTAGAAATACTAAAACTGATAAATTAGAGATGATTTACTTTTCTCTACCAGAACACAGTCAAGCTTCTCGTTTTCAAATTATTTGTCGATTAATTATACACAATATAAAAGAGTATTTCTCTAAGAAACTGAAGCTACTTCTTTATAAACAATTTGATCACTCACAGTACATATGCATATCATACCATTACACATACAATGACCGGTCTCTCGTCCATTAAATCCAATTTAGAATACTTTAAAATATATCGCTTCTCAGTAATTTAACATGTACGCATGTTAATCCTCAGTTTTACAGACTTTATCATAAATGTTTGGATATAAACCCTACAGAACTGATGCAGGCTGTGCAAGTTCAAGTTCTGCTTATATTACATAAAAATAATAAATATCTGTTTCTATGTCATGTTCATGTTTAAAACAGTTTTTTTTTTTAGATATTATTCACAGAGAGAGAGAGAGAGAGAGAGAGAGAGAGAGAGAGAGAGAGAGAGAGAATAAAAAATTGTATAACAATACTTCTGCAGATGTCTCATGGAATTCAACCCGATGAACGACGTATCATGTTGTAAATTTTGAATTTACTAGGGGGAGGTAAACGCAAAATTTTGTAAATTTTGCATTTACCCCCCCCCCTAGTAAATTCAAAATTTACAACATGATAGACGTATAAAATTTTGTTTGACAAGACATATTATATTTTCAAATTACTCTTTAACATCTGTCGACAATTGCGATAAATGTCTCTTTAACTTCACTTCTAAAATCTGTGCATTGTCAAGAGTTGGACGTCTGTTATGTATTTTGTAACATTTGCCATTAGTGGGTTTCGTCTATTTTTTATTATTAATCCGTTCAGTTTATTTCCTATGTGCGTGCAAGGTGAGAGGGTTAGACTTAGCGTCTTTAGATGATTAGACATCAAAGGCACTGATACATATTCGATGTACACTATTTCCAGCTCAAAATTTCCGAAGGGAGAAATTGTATACATGCAACGCAACTTATGACTGCTTTTAAAAAGACGTCTAGGTTTTGCCGTTTAGAATCTTCATCAGAAAATCAATTCATTACATATTTTTTCCCTATAGGATCCATTTATCATCAAAATAAACCTAGACATAACTATAGAATTGATTTCATTATCTTTTAGACAGATCAACTCAAATGAGATTCATTTACAGTCACAGACATGACAATGAATTACGTCCACTGACAATTCTTAGAAACACATTAAGACCATAGTGTGCTGTAAGGGTGTCTTGGAGAATTAGATTTTTACAAGGAATTATATTGGAAATGATTTATAAATTACAATATAACCTTGTGTTTTGTTTTCTTTCCCGTCGTCAATGTTACTATATATGCATCAAAGAAGTCAAGGGTTGATAGACGCAACTATTACAATTAATATCCATTTCTTTTTCTTTATTGCTTTGGATAGCAACCATATTTCAGAGATTTGGAAACAATGTCGGAGAAAATTGTTTAGTAAAAAAAAAATTGTAAAATATGCGTTGCTCTTTTTACTCCTCTGAGTATACCTGAGGTACTCGTAGAGAGCCTGATGCGTCTTCAGATAGAGATGGCTGCTTTAAGATAAGTAAGTTAACTACCGGTATACCACAGTAAAACATCGATGTCCAGTACCCCTTCTGATTGATATGTTTGCTGAAAAATAAATAAAGGAGATAGCAGTATTATAATAAAACATCAAGAGCACACATTTAGCCTACAGATAAACAAATTACCTCTCTATCTATCATTTTCTGCTTTGAAAGCTCATCAGTGCTAGATTTATAACAAAACATATATTTCTTGATTTATTAGTAGTGATGGTAGTTAATCAACTGAATCTAATGCTCTTTGTATGAAAGTCTAGATTTGTTAATATATATAGTAGCACTACAAGGAAGTACATGTTCACCAAGAGAGGGCACGATACAATAGGCCACACTCACGCCTATGCAATCTCGAAAATAGTCCATTTGCAATTTTAGTAGGCTTAAGGAGGCTGGGGGTCAACAAATTAACCATCAGATATAACTTATTTTTTTAGATATGATATCTTAAGCTGTCAACTATCATTTGGCAAAGAAAAAATTCATACATTTTAGTTTTAAAATTTGATCATTTTTGTATATCTTTATATGGAGCTCTTCTTCTAAAGGAGATCGATATAGTCTAAAAATGGCCACGACCACCCAGCCCTCTTAAAAATCAAAACAAAGTACATGCAGTTTTATGAACAAGGTAATAATTGAAGCTTTTATGCAGAAAGAGATGATCAATTAGAAATCAAACATAAGCGATAGATTTGAATCTAACCATTAGACCCTGGGGCATCCTATTTTAACATAAAAATATGTTACCTCTTCCTCCTTTTATTTTATTCAAATGGTCATATTTGTGAAAAACGTGTGAGAAGTTAATAGATGTCAACTATAACACATTCAGAATAGATTCTAAAAGTTTGAAAGCCCAAAAATATTGTTTTTGTTAATGATACGCATGCAAAGCATTTGGCTTCAGTCTTTGGCACCTTTTTTCAGCTCTTCAAAGTCTTTTTTTTTATTTAAATATTTTGAATTTCCAACGTTTCGGCATGATCATCACTGAAGCGACATAATTTGTCGAAATGCGCATCTGGTGCATCAAAATTGGTACCGTATATGACTTACATACACATGTACATTAGTATATAACACTAATAACTACTTCAGACTGTGTGAGTGTACTGAGAATTACTGGTGGTCATCAACAGACAACTTTTAGGTCATGTTGATGTTGAGTTTTATATGTTACCATTGAATTCAAGTAAAATGAAATTAGAGCGGAGTCGATCTCATTCTTTTAATAATATTTGCATTTCATGTCAATATTATTTTGATTTGATCATATATTATTATGCCATAAATACAGTAATATACGTTCTCAATATGTGACAATATGACAGATGTCGATATTATGTGTCCTTATTTAACGATTGACCAACTTCTGTTTATGATGATGCCTATAACATTTTATTCTCACAAATTTTAAGTTGAAACAGATACATAAATTACATCCCTATTCACACAAATTACAAATCTGTCTAATCCGACATGCACTGGGCCAAAGGTATTGTGTCAAAATAAACAGGATGTCGGATTGCGCAGTGTAAAGAACCCAGAAAACATGTTTACATATATAAGTGGGAATGAAATAACACACACACATACTCACACACACACACCCTCACACACACACAGAGAGAGAGAGAGAGAGGTGAGTTTACTTTTTTTTCTATTTAATAAAAATTTTCAGGGCTGTTGTACTGCACGCCAAGACATGATCATTTTATGGGATGTTGGAATTTTACTTTGGCAGGAAGTAGGGCTTATCTCCCTTGTCCAGAGCTACCGGGATTTTCAACAGAAAGTGAGAGCCTTTCACAGTTATCTATAAATTACAGTACGAGTATATTATGGGTTTGCCTAAATTTTATGGAAAATCAGATTTAATAATAGTAATTTAGTTATTTTTGTATGATGAAATCGTGCAGCTTACATTTCATTTAGAATCGTAAGATACATAAATAATTCTGCAACTTTTTTACAGTCTCAAGAACAGCTAGTACTAATATAGAATTCTCAACTTTTAATCTACCAGTACTTGTCATTGTTTTTTTTTTTCATTTAAGATTGGTGTATTTTTGGCTTTATTCAGATTTTGCTTATTTTGACTGTCTGCCGAATGGTTCTTGGTACGTACACCCGTCGACAGGAAAGGAGTATGCTAATTACATGGGTTGCAGAAATTACCAGCAAGTGTTGAAAGTGAGTAGAACAAAACTCTACACTCTCAAAAATAGATTTTTTTTGTAACGATGACAATTTCCAAATGGAGGATGAAGACAAAAATGAAGTTCAAGCAGATTAGATACACGGTACGGTGGGAAGTATTATCATACTATAAAACCTGTCTACTCTGACATGCACTTGGACAGAGATTTTTTGTCTGAATAGACAGTGTGTCTAATTGCACAGTTCGATAAAAGTGGGAATGAAAATAAATCTCAGTAATACAGATTGCACAGGTGTAGGATTAAACAGTTTTTACTGTATTTATAAATCAATGTTGAAGATGCCAATTTTATAACGGAAACAGAGTTCGGTCCTTCTTAAAGTCGGCTTTTGCATATCTTACATTACAGGAAACGGAGGAAGACCTTTTACATGTTTATGTGTCCATTGCTGGATTCAGTATCTCCCTCCTCTTGCTTATCAGTGCACTTGTTATTTTCTTCAGTTTCAGGTAAAACTCTGTACAATGCCTTTATTGAAAAAAAAGGATCGTAATGATTTTTTGAACCCACATGTACAACTTACTTGCAAAATGTTATTGATTGCACTATTGTTAGAATCATTGCTGAAATGAAAAATTGTTGATATGCAAATCCTAATTAATTGAGATTAATCGACATTAATATGTGAATTGTATAAAGTAATAATTCAAAATAAAGATTATTTTTCACATAATCGAAATTTTAAATAATTCTTAAACACTCTAAAACTTTTTGAGAAAATTCTTGTATAAATTTGTGAGAAGTAAAAAACGGAAGTCAAGTTCTGTTATATGGTGCATATTTCTGCCTCCTACATGCAAGATAAATTATGTTAACATACGAGAAAAGTATGTCAAGGTGCAAGATAGTTTTGTCTATATGCATAATAATTATGTTGACATGCAAGTTACCAATCTTTTTAGAGAATATAGTTTAAATATTGGTAAACTTACTAACGCCAGTATACGACATCATACAAACAAGATGCAACAGAATTATGTTGACATGCGAATTATTTATGTAAACATGCAAGATATCTATGTCAACATGCCACTTATGCATGTTAACGTGCAGCATAATTATATAGACATGCGACTTATGTATATCAACATGCAACTTATTTATGTCATCATGCGACTTAAATGTCAATATGTGAGTTATATTTAAACATGCAAGATATTTTTGTCAACATGCAAGATAATAAATTGCATGTCAACATACATATCTCGCATGTTGACATAATTAACTCGCATGTTAACATAATTAGCTTGCATGTTGAAATAAATTAGTCGCATGTCTACATAATCCCGTTGCATTTTGCTTGTATATGTATAATGATGTCATATAATGGCGTTAGTAAGTAACTTTACCAACATTTACATGTAAATTAGATTCTCTAAAGAGATTGGTAACTTGCATGTCAACATCATTATTTTGCATGTTGACATAAATAAGTCGCATGTTTACATAATTATGTTACATTTAACATAATTTATCTTGCATGTATTGGGGGTAGAAATATGCCACCATACTGTTATTTTGATTTCAGTTCAATTTTTCCTACAGGCAATTAAATTGTGACAGAATAGCAGTACACAAGAACTTGTTTATCTCTTACGTCATCTCAGATCTATTCAACGTCATCTACTTATCTGTCGTCTGCTTAGATGAAAGTGTTCTGATGCAGAATCCGGTAAGCCAAAAGTGTCAAATTTAGTTAAATTTTTTGTGCCTTTAAATAAAATATGTTTTTTTTATAAATATTATAGCAAAATTATAACTTTTTCCAGAGTTTATGATGTCAATGAATTTATTCTTAATAATGCTACATTCAAAGGAAGATCCAACATCATCCACACACACACACACACCTCGTTTGGGATTTTTTCTTTTCTTTTCTTTTTTTCTTTTTTTTTTTTTGGTACATTTTGTTTGTTTGTTTGTATACTCTTAATTTAGTCCCCACGCACGTTCGAGAACCGACACTAACACCCCCTTCCCCGATTTTTGGACAATGTTCTTTTTTTTCCAAATTAAAAATCCTTTAAATGCCTCCTCCCCCGCCCCGTTCCCAAATTTTTGGATCCGCCACTGACATTGTAAAATAGTTATGAGGTTTCTGCAGGAGCTCTTCTCTTATTTATATTATACTGCCATACTGACGATTTTCAATTTACGTAAGAAAAATAAACATTTGCAAACAAAGGCTAATTAGATTTTTAGAAGGCAATGTTGTATTACCTTCACTCCTGTTCTTCAAATATTTATAAATTCCTTGAGTATTAATTAAACAATCTGACCCCAGCTAAGTCAAACGGAGTGCTCTTAGTGACTGTAGATTATTCAGCTGTGGTAGAGAAAATATACCTGTGATATATTAAAAATAGAATATCACAATGAAATAGGACTGAATTCAATTAATGTTTCGAAAATAAACCGCGAGTGTCATTTTTTTTTTACTTAATCTTACGAAAATCTTGAATAGATTTTGACCTTTTTTTGCTCCTTTTCTGGTCAATATAATTATGCGTGATCAACATTTAAAAACAAGTCCGAGGCCGATTTAAACAATAACTCAAACTGTGATATTATATGTACAGTTAGTTACACAAAATTTGTATGTACTTTGCATATATGATTTTTAACAATCTAACTCTTCACTTCTAAGTGGAATTCTAAACAATTGCTGAAGTCTGAGGAATATACGCACATATACTGACTAGCTTTAGCATATCGAAGTCTCGAAGTTTACCTAAAATTTATAAAATTATGCAATATTTGTAAATTTCCATACTAAAACAGTTGTCCTAGAAGATCACCCATTATTATAAATTATGCTCATGAGATTTTGACATCCCTTTTATTTGAATTTTTTTTTTAAATTTTGTCTTTGATACAAGTCTTGTTAATGTTTTTGTTTCTGTAGTTGTGGTGTCGAGTATTACACGTTATAACACAGTATGCTGTGGTAAGCAACTTTGCCTGGATGTTCTGCGAAGGTCTCTTTCTACACACTTTAATCATGAATGCCCTTAAATCTGGACACTCTGTCATTATGATCTGCTTTATCATTGGTTGGAGTAAGTATAAAATAAATTAGTACTAAATGCTATTATTGTATTATTCACTAGAGATATACCTTTTAGTATCATTTATTGCTTCATGATATAGTGATAGGTATTGGGTATTGCATGATTACTGTTGAATCACCAAAGTGTATCCTCGTGTATCACCCGTACCCACGAAATTGGGTCTCCACGAACTTTGAGACAAATTACTAGGATGACATTGTAAATGTTTCCTGTATGCTGAATTTTTTGGAAACCCTTAAATTTACATATATAAAAATATGAAATAAGAATTCAAGTATACTTGGATTTTTCGCGACTTGCTTTCTGTTTTATATGTTTATGAAATACATTTTTCTATAATTTTTCTTACCTTGGTTGATTGAATTAAGGACCCTCTGCACACTGGACATTGAAGAGTTCTAATTATATTGTACTTTTATGCAGTTAGAGTGATCTACCTTTTGATTTAGAATTGAATGAATTAAAGTAAAAATATAATCCTTGGTGTAATACACAATTTATAATGAATTTAAGTATTCTTAACAGTAGAGATTGTTCTTTCTGACGTATCCGTATAAGTATCCGTATCCGCATACGTATCGAGGTGAGAGAGGCATCTCGATCCCGATATCTAAACTATTTACTATAATTTCCATCGTTATTTGTTTGGTTTTAAAGCAGCCCCATCCATTTAATAATAGCATATTGTATTTTTTCTAATAAAAAATGTATTAACCTGCTGTAAAAGTCTATCATTTCGCTGGAAAAATTTTAAGAAATAGATAATGAAATTAAATAAATTTGTATTTGTTTTCATTATATTGTTTAAAACTTTGATTGCAATTTTGTTTAAAAACATTTATCGGGATCCCCCTCTCTCTCTCTTAACATCAGGACATTTTATTGATTGATTCTGTAATTAACATTAGATGACATCAAAGTTAACCCCCCACCCCACCCCCCACCCCACACACACTAAAATGCAAAAGACGTTGATATCCACACAATCAATAAAACCTTGTAGCCGTTTTCTAAAGAGAATGTGCTTCCAGACCCTTACCAGTTTATGCTTAAAAATGCCAGTTCACCCCCCACCCCCCGGGAACACACACAAATTTTCATAGCGTCTGTTGACTTTCTTCATTCTTTTTTCAATGAACTATTTGACAAATACCTGTATGTCTTCCCTTCCCCTCCCCAGTTGAAATTGCTACTTTCGTGCCTATTCTCATACGGCTTGATTTTGCTTTATATTTTGTCCTTTCAGCAGTATTAACTTGAAAAGACTTCATGGCGACAAAAAAATAGGTAATGAAATGAAAATGCAATTGTTAAATTTGATTTTTCTTTTAGTTCTCTTGCTGTCGTACATGCGTATTATATATAATTCATGAATTTATATAGAAACTGTTTCATAATAGGGTATTCATTATTTTAACTCTCTTTTTATAAGAAAGAAAAGAACTTTAGGCTAAAAAATTCCAAAACAATAGATTTATCTATTTCTTCTATGCTACCTTGTCCATCCAGCTGATTTATATTTATTTATTTATTTTTTAATTTTATTTATTTATTAATGCATTTTAGCCCAGATCTGGACAAGTGTGAGTCAATTCAACACGCAGTTTATAGAATTGAAGAGAAGAGGCTGCTTCAACGTAGCAGAGAAATAAAAAAAACACAGAATAAAGGATAAAATTTATACAAAACATTTAATTGATAAAATATCAGCATTTTTTTTTTTAGAGTTTTGATCCCGCTTGTACACAAAGAATTACAGTAGTCTTAATTTCAATAAATAAATCATTAAGTAAACTTTAGTCAACATGCATATAAAGTAATGTATAAGACATAAATAAAAAAAAATTCTCCGTTTATCTCCTTTTATCGACAATTGTTAATTCATCCCCGATAAAAACTGCGTGTAATTGCATCACTTTTGGAAATGGTTGTCCTTTCTCAAGCTCTCTGGAATTTCGGATACGGCTATCACCTAACAATTTAGGGAATTTAGAGTCTTCAAACCATCCCAATTGCCAGCTTTCCAAAGCTTTTCTGGAGAACTATGTCCATCATATATAATCAAATGATATACAGAATGTTAATAATGATAAAAAAGAAAATGAGGATCGAAATTTTCAGTGCCCCCCCCCCACACACACACACACAAACGTACACACAGAGTATGCAGTAAGGTCAACTTAATCTTTCACAGTTAATGTATCCGTAATTATTTTTGTGGAAAAGAGGAACTCAAAACTTAATATCCATACCCCCCCCCCCCCACACACACACATACATACATACCCAGTAATAGGTTTTTTAAAAGTTTGATTAATATCTACACATTTTTATTGTCAAATTTTGCTAAGGTGACTTGTCATTTTTTGGTTTCTCCCTGCCTCGGCCCAGCTTCCCCCTTCTCCACTTTGCTAATCAATTTTAAGTGTCTGCTTGATGTATACAAACTTATACTCATCTAGAATGTTTGATCTCTGACACCTCGTACAGTTAAACTTTGTTAACTCAAATCCTTGGATATATCGAAGTTTTAATTGGTCCAATCAAGTTGCATGAGATAATGAGCGTTGACTGTATGCATTATGGGGAATATGTCTTGTACTGGTAAAGGTTACTTCGAGAATGAAACAATAATATATCCTGATATTGAGAGAGAGAGAGAGAGAGAGAGAGAGAGAGAGAGAGAGAGGAGTCCCTTTTTTAATTTTTAAACAATTTAATAAAAATAAACATACTTTTTTACTAATTTTATTTTTTTTAAATCCTTCAATAAATGATAGGTGTGAACAGCAACTTGATACGTTTTATTAGAAATATTACAGTAACTATATATCTTATTTTCCAATGAATGAGGTTAAAATCAAACAAGAAACGATGGAAATGGTACCCAACAGTTAAATCATCGGGATCGAGATGCCTCTCAAACATCGATACGTATACGGATACGTATACGGATACGTCAGAAAGAACAATCTCTATTATATTAGATGCAGATGAATTTCTTGAAAATTTCATCTGCATTTATTTTCCCCATTTAAGCAAGCAACAATTGCAGTGTATTTCTGTTCATCAATACTTTGTTGTCTAAGAAAAATTTTACGGGGGCAGAATGGAAGGTACTCTATATTAAAAATGAAAATGGTCAACTTAATACTAAGTCTTTCATCTTTATCCAGTGTAATTTTCTCAAAGTCCAAAAGCTAGTGTTTAGAGAGGGTCCTTAATTTGCACACTAAGCACTTTTTAGACTATTTTTAAAACTGTCTTTAATGCTTTGACAAAGACAGATTGAATGCTTTCAAGTAATAATAAATGATTTTGTTTTATTATAGTGGTTCCATTGGGGTTGACAGCAGTCTATGCTGGAATCAGGGCAACTCTCTCTGACAATATAGAATTGTACGTTGATAACCTTCTTAAACATGCAAGGGGCAAATTGTCACATACGTAAACATGATACATCTTAATTGTTTTTCGTAGGACGTCATTACAATTTAGACGTGTCTTCTATCCTTAATCTATTTCGGTGGGGATTTATAGTGTAGCTCTTTTTATATATATTTTTCTGTAATCACTTGTGAGTTGAAGGCTTCATTTTTCATCTTCAAATGAAACTTTGTCATCTTAACATTAAAGAAAAATTAAAGTATAATTCATCATTGTCCTTATTCTCTCTCTCTCTCTCTCTCTCATGCATTTAAGAATTCTTGTGTTTTACATGTGATTCAGTATTAGAATCAGAACACTGCATTTCTATTTCTGCTACTCTAGTAAAAATAACTTTTTTCAGACTTCAAAATCTAGAAATATAAGATAAGGATTCACCTTTTCGTAATCTCAACGTTTTGTATCTTAAAGCTAAACACGGAATAATGTACGACACCGATGCAGACAATTTGTTTCATAAATCACATTGTTTTTTTTTCCAGCTGTTGGTTGTACGAAAGCTCCCTGCAGTGGATCACTTTTGCACCGGTTGTTCTTTCAATGATGGCACGTTATTTTTTACCAGATTTGATCTTCTTGTTTGTTTTGTTTTTGTTTTCTGTCTATTTTTTGTATATATGCACATTATCAAACTTTGCTGGAAAGTGTATCTTTCGAGAAAGGAGAATATTAATAAAAGCACTTCTGAAATATATTGAATTGTTATCACAATAAAGAATATATATTTAAATATCGTTATTTTTTCTTTCAGGTCAACATCGTATTTCTTATCAATATCATGCGTTTACTTGTAACCAAACTACGACAACTCCCCGAGGCTGCGCAGACTAGGTATTTTTTTGTTTGATTTCAACACTGACATTGAAACAATTGTTTATAATTAAAAACTATGTACTTGATAAGACAGTTCATGTGGGATCAAACAGTGTTTGGTGGGTGTAATATTCATGGCACCTCTATCAGAAACGCTAATCGCAATTGACAAAAATGACAAAATGATCCATGATCATTTTTTTTTTGTCAATCGACATTTCTTCTAATGTATGAAACGTGTTCTTTTTTATTGATAGATTTAGTTTTATATCCAGTTCAGGTTACTTTGTCGAATTCGCTGTCGAATCAGATTAATGAGTGAGTGTTTGATTGAATGGTTTTTAACGTCCCATTCTAGAATTTTTCCCTAATATAGAGATGTCACAATGTGCCGGTGAAAGGGCTTCAAATTAAACCTTTTTTTTTACCGTGAACTTGATAGGAAAATTAAAATATAAACAGTATGATAACTGAATGCTTGCTGATTATCTAGTTTAATAATGAAAATTCCTATAATTGCTCTCAGTCGCAGAGAAATTAAGCCATCCAATGACGTCAGATTAAGTTATCTTGAGAGAGTATGATATCCCTGCAGCTAGAATTCAGAGACCCATAAGGATAAAACTATGCACGTCACAAATTTTAATCGATAGAATCTGTTCTGGATGTTGACAATATCCGTTAACATGGTCTTCCGGTTCCGTGTCAGGAATTACTAATGACTTTGCTAACCGTCTCGAGATGTTATATAAAATAAATTTTGGCCTTAGGGCTTCTCATTCTCTCTCTCTCTCATACTTAGAGCTCGCGTGAGAGAGAGAGATGAAAATATAATCAACAAACCCTGTCAGCTTTGGATATTTGAAATGAATATATTGGAGGATCTCCCTATGAACTTCATTTACTTTTATACTTTTTTCAAATCATTCATGACAAAGTCATTTTCTTTCTTGTTCAGAAAAGCAGTTCGAGCTACGGGGATTTTAATTCCATTGCTGGGTCTACAATTCCTTCTGTTTATAAAGCGTCCAAATGACAAAGAATCCATGCTGTATGACGTATACACTTACGCAGTTTCGGTGGTTGTATCATTACAGGTAATATACTGATAATGACATTGTATCATTACATGTAACTACTGATAATTACTTAAGAAATGAATTTAATAGCTACCTAGATTATACGGTATAAACTGGGATGGGGCAGTTTGCGTTTTATAAATCGCAAAACGGTTTCATCCCAGTTTATACCGTAAGAATTGGATAACTATTAAATTCACTCCTTCTAATTTAATTTCCATCATTTAGTGTAAGAAAATAGAAGGGTTATCCATAAAAGACTTCAAATTGTGCAAAATTTAAATGGAACGTCAGGCGGATCGATACGTTTTTGATGCTTGCAAGTCATTGTGGCGTAGGCAACACATTTTATACGATATGAAGTCAAATTTTTATCCAATCAAATGGCGTGTTACAACCAGAATCAAATTATAATGTATCATCACGGGAATTTACCGATTATTACATTGTATAATTATGGGTAATTACCAATGATTATCTTGTATAATTACGGGTAATTTCCGATAATTACATTTTATCATTATGGGTATTCACCGATAATTACATCGTAACGTTACAGGTAATTATGAAATAAAGAATAGTAATAATTTACTATCCAGTATTTTCTACTCCTTGCTAAAGTAAATGTTGCACTTCTGAAGAGCTTACAATCTTTTAACTGCTTTTTATTCTTTCAGGGGGCCTTTGTTTCCATTCTCTATTGTTTTTGTAATGGTGAGGTAAGAGAAAAAAAATTCTAGTTTAAATAACCATTTAAAGTATATCTAAACAAAGGTTAAGAAGTTAAGATAAGGATTCAAATACCTAAGTACTAGTATGTTAATGAATGCATTATAGAATAAAATATAATTAAGGATAAAAATCTTCTGCTTATATCAATTATTCCATGATACAAAAAGAACTCCCTTTCATTATAGTCTTGTCCTTTCAAAATGTTGTTTTTTTTTAACTTAAAATATATTACTTTTTCTTGAAGGTTTTGACACTGTTACAGCGGAAATGGTATCAACACAGAATGGTGTTACCAGGGAAACGGAAGCGCGCGCAATCTTCCTCCGCTTCGACCATGTATACGTTTATTGATCAAGTGTCACAAGGAAATACCAACATGCTTTGAATTCGAAATACATGGAATATTGTTAATATTTTTATAGAAAACATTTTCTAAAATAAAATTTAGCATATTTGAGTTTTCTTATTGTTTTCTTTATTTTTTTTTTCCTCGACCAATCTAACAGTATATCCAATATGTGTATACCAGGGATGTCACGGTGTGCTGAACTTAATTGCTGTCTGTACATGGGTATCTACGCTTCAAACTCATTTGGAACCTATCAAAATTTTTTTTGAATTTAACTTGACGAATTGTTAAATTTGTTAAAAGGAATTTAATTCGTCCTATCATTTTTTTAATTTAAAATTCGTTATAACCAATTTAATCTGTTATAACAAATTTATTAATTTCGTTCTAACGAATTCAAAATTTGTTATAACGAATTAAATTCATTATATCGAATTCATAGACAATTTTCCACAGGTTTTCAATGTGTAAATTGATTATTCGAATTGAATACCTTATTATATTAATAACATATTTAAGAAATTATTGCTATAACGAATTAAATTTGTTATGACGAATTCAAACATATTGTTATACGGAATTAAATTCGTTATAACAAATTCGACAATTTACGGAAACCCATTTAGGACCTATCAAAAAATATTTTTGAATTCGATATAACGAATTGTTGAATTTGTTATAACGAATTCAATTCGTTATAACAGTTTCTTTGAATTCGTTATAACGAATTTTATCTGTTATAACAAATTTGTTGAAATCGTTATAACGAATTCAAAAATTTGCTATAACGAATTAAATTCGTAATAACGAATTCTGAAACTTGTTATAACGAATTAAATTCGTTAAAATGAATTCTCTAATTTGTTATAACGATTTAAATTCGTTAAAACGAATTCGACATATCGTTATATTGAATTCATACATATTTTTCTGTATGTGCTGATTGTTGAATTTGATTTAACGAATTCAAATTCGTTATAACGAATGAAATTTGTTATAACAAATTGTGGAATTCGTTTAAACGAATTTTATTTGTTATAACAAATTTTTGAATTCGTTATAACGAATTCAACAAATTTGTTATAGCAGATTAAATTCGTTATAACGAATTCAAAGAAATTATTATAACGAATTAAATTCGTCATAACAAAATCGATAATTCGTTATATCGAATTCAAAAATATTTCTGATGTGGCCTTAGTGGGCTTCCGTAGCTTCTGTATAAGTATCTGCCATTATTCAAATCTTCAATCTTCATTGCATTACATCCGTCGATTCCATACGTGTATTAAGTACCAAGGCTTTACAGCAAACAGAAATATCGGTGAAGCAATCAAACGAAAGATTAGACCTGTTTATTTACAGCCAATAAACAATTAGTTTAGTTGAAATATCAACAGTTAGGTTCATCGTCAATCCAAATTAAGCGATCAAAACCCACTGCGATTATATTTATAATTAGGGAAGTTTTATAGCGAGATTATTTTGAAATTGTAATCTTATATCCTGAGTTTTAAAATCAAAATAAATTGATTCAGATGCTTCAGACAGTATGACGTCTTTATTACAATAAATACATGGTCTTTATGAATATGAAACTATGAAATTTAATTTTTTTTTTTTACAATTTAAAATGAAAAAATTTAGAGAGGATATTACATGCCTTATGTATTACATGTATTATACATGGAAAAAAAACTTGTCATCCCATCCTTTGTAAAATATTAATTTGATTATTCATCAATTGCAAGGGCCAGGGGGCCGCCCACCCACCCCGCCACTTTTTCTAAGTATAGTATTTTTCCTTTAGAAGCCGTTGCCCTCCACCCCCACCCCCTTCCTTCACTTTTTGTTGCTGTAAGGTCGAGCATTGGCAAATTCCAGGATAATATGGACAATTAATAAGTTTTTTTTGTTTGTTTTTTGGTTTTTTTTTTTTTTTTTTTTTTTGCTTGTCAGATTTTTTGGCAAAGTTGCCCCCCCCCCCCACACTTTTGAAACCGTTGCTACGGGCCTATTGCTTAAGAACAATAAGGTGATATAATTGAAAAAATCAATCCTTTTCAAGAACGTTTATACTCCTAAATGAAAAAAGATTTTACACATGTCCGCTTTATATACACTGTGAAAATGATGAAAATGTTAATCAATATATAAACAGGGGGAAAAAAAATCTTTTTCCCATTATCAATTGTGTTTTGTCACTACTGTGCAGTTGTTCTTTTTCCGTATTCATAATTATCTGCACCATTTGTGGTGACTGTTATGAAACACCTATGACGATACCGGGGTATTTTGATTGGCTGCACGATTAAAGAGCCTCAGCTCGTGTCTCTTGAAAATAAAAAAAAAATGGAACTCGAGTTTGAGAAAAACTATGTAAGGTTATAGAACCTACCTCAAGATCAGCAGGGCCATGAATTTTCATGAATATTGATATGCAAGTTAACTCAGGTAGTGCATTTGTTTTTTGTTCAAAACACAGTCACCGGCTGTACAGTTTAGTTACAATAGGGATCAAATTTTTTACATGGAAATATAATTATAAGAAAAACCTTTAATTAAAAATTTAATCAAAAAAAAATCTTTTAGATAAATTAAATACTCTTATGGTTCCGTATTACCTATGTGAGTTGCATTTGTATTGGAGTATCTCCTGCATATGTTGCTTGGATTTAATTTTAATTGATAAAGTCATGATTCCTTTGGGCTTGTATGGGGACACAATATGAAGTCAGAAGTGTTAATTGTAATAAAGAGGAGGGATAAAAACCTTCAAAAATCTCTGTCTAAAGAACAGCAGGGCAAATCTATCTCATGTGAGCGTTGTGGGCCATTGGCAGGGCTCTAATTGGGGACTAATTTAGTCGCCATGGCGCCTAAAATTTTTGATTGGCGCCTGAAATTTTTCCATAAGTCGCCAAATTGGCGACCATTTTAAATTTACTTTGCGATCCTCGAATTCCGGAAATTTTCATATTTTTTATCTGGACACTCTGTCATTATGATCTGCTTTATCATTGGTTGGAGTAAGTATAAAATAAATTAGTACTAAATGCTATTATTGTATTATTCACTAGAGATATACCTTTTACACATGTCCGCTTTATATACACTGTGAAAATGATGAAAATGTTAATCAATATATAAACAGGGGAAAAAAAAAAATCTTTTTCCCATTATCAATTGTGTTTTGTCACTACTGTGCAGTTGTTCTTTTTCCGTATTCATAATTATCTGCACCATTTGTGGTGACTGTTATGAAACACCTATGACGATACCGGGGTATTTTGATTGGCTGCACGATTAAAGAGCCTCAGCTCGTGTCTCTTGAAAATAAAAAAAAAAATGGAACTCGAGTTTGAGAAAAACTATGTAAGGTTATAGAACCTACCTCAAGATCAGCAGGGCCATGAATTTTCATGAATATTGATATGCAAGTTAACTCAGGTAGTGCATTTGTTTTTTGTTCAAAACACAGTCACCGGCTGTACAGTTTAGTTACAATAGGGATCAAATTTTTTACATGGAAATATAATTATAAGAAAAACCTTTAATTAAAAATTTAATCAAAAAAAAATCTTTTAGATAAATTAAATACTCTTATGGTTCCGTATTACCTATGTGAGTTGCATTTGTATTGGAGTATCTCCTGCATATGTTGCTTGGATTTAATTTTAATTGATAAAGTCATGATTCCTTTGGGCTTGTATGGGGACACAATATGAAGTCAGAAGTGTTAATTGTAATAAAGAGGAGGGATAAAAACCTTCAAAAATCTCTGTCTAAAGAACAGCAGGGCAAATCTATCTCATGTGAGCGTTGTGGGCCATTGGCAGGGCTCTAATTGGGGACTAATTTAGTCGCCATGGCGCCTAAAATTTTTGATTGGCGCCTGAAATTTTTCCATAAGTCGCCAAATTGGCGACCATTTTAAATTTACTTTGCGATCCTCGAATTCCGGAAATTTTCATATTTTTTAACAATTTTTCTGAAAAAGCGAAAAGAAATTTAAAACTAGAGGAAATTATTTTAGCAATGGACATGTCATGTTTTCTTAGGCACGTCATGGGTCCCTATATTCTATTTTCCTTTAAAGTTAGAGCCTTAGGAAAATTGCCTGGCGACTAAAAATTTGCATTGGCGACTAGATTTTTTTGATAAGGCGCCAGTTGGCGCCTAAATTTTAGAGGCCACTTAGAGGCCTGATGGGCCTCTTGTTTCGAATATATCCCTCATAAAACTTTGATCACTATAGTGGCCCTAACCCACAGTTTCCAGATCTGATCATGATACAACCTGAGAAAGCTTGCATATTAAAACGACTAATGATGACCTGGCTGTTATACTGAGAACATTTTAAAAAAAAATATTGTATGCACCATCCTAAAACAGTCCCAACTATGGCCCCATACCCTGGTGCCACAAATTGAACAAACTCTTATCTACACTACCTGAGAATGCTTGCAAATTAATATATCTTATAATTATATATGGCCTGGCTGTTTTTGATCACGATTTGAACAAATTTGAATCTGAATTACCCGAGGATGATTGCACATTATTAACTTTTATTATATACCCAACTGTTTGTCACTCACTTGTACTGTCGAATTATTTACATCCACTGAATATTATCTCCTTTATTTCTTAAGAAAACATTGCTGTTTACCAGTCAGTAAACACCGCTAGGCATATCACCTCTACAGATTTCTTGAGCAGTGGCTCTTCCATCAGTGAAACGTATCATGACATTCATATCAATAAATTAATACAATATTTAATCGTCAGTTCTTAATCCTACTTTAACTGATTGTTTTTACAGATATAAATATAAACAATAAAATGTCTTAAGTTTCTTTGTATATTAGTATGGGATAAACGTTGCAGCATTTTATTGTTTAATTATTGTGGCTAATTAAAGCATAACCCCAGACGCTGAACAAACTTAAACTTTTCCAACTCGAGCATAGATTAAATTCCTTGTGAACCATTGATATACTTGTTTATTGAATCTAAGTCATATTGAATTAAAAAAAAAGTTCTAAATATATGATCGTAAATTTCCATTTCTACAACCGCTGAAATTGGAATGAAATAATTATATTGCCATTCACAATATTTCTAAACCCCCCCCCCCAAAAAAAAAAATTAAAAATTTTCCTTCTTCTTTCTATTGATTATGTAATTCCATATACGACAACCAACTGCTTAATTACTGCCAACTGCTCACTGCCAACTGCCAGCTGCTTACTGCCAGCTGCTACTGTTTATAGATGATATTGCCTGTTTTGTTAACTTTAATACGCGTGCTTGAATAAATCCTATGCAAGAAAAGAACGGCGAACCTTAGTATTGTTCTGCCAACAACCTCCAAATTCAATTTTCAAAAGTTAACACATTTGAATTATTTTTCATATTTATATAGATATTTATAGGAATTTTCATAAAACATAACTTATTTGGGAAATCAAAGAGAGATAAGTCTTTAATTTTGGTAAAACTTGTGGTTTTCACAATATTTATAAACAAAACAAAAAAACCCAGAATTTTATTTTTAAAACATCACCCCCCCCCCCCACCCCCCCTCCGTGAAACAACAATTTCTCTTTACAGGTATTATGAATTGTTATTTCACAAATTCATACCCAATGTTTTTTTTTTTCTTTTTTCATTTTTTTTTCTTTTGTTTCACGAGGAGGGGGGGGGGTATTTTTACAAGAGGGAGGGGTTAAGTTTACCGACTAGCTAAAAACAGGAAAATAGTCATTTTATTACCAATTTCAAATGAGATAACAAATAAAAATTTATGTACGCAGGTATGTTAAGGCAGTACCCAGATCATATTTCGGCGAATTTAGACTTTTTTCGTAAAATGTAACATTGATAAATCGGAAAAGCCTTAGATAAAACATTTACTATAAATATCCATTGTATAGATCTTATTGGGTTTTAGGCTAAAAGAAGCACTCCACTACGACGTCATTACTAAGAGTTTGCCCCCCCCCCCCCCAAAAAAAAAGAAAAGAAAAATGTTTTCTGATGTTACATAAACCTTTAATCTCTCCCGCGTCAAGAAAGCTATTGAATTATTTGCCTGCAAGGAAATGTGGGAATTAGATGTTTTGTATTTAAGTAATTAAGGGGAAATACCCTTTCCTCCTACATGTGTTCCTGGATCCGCCCTTTTTTGTAATTATTGTAATATCCTTCCCATAATAGGGTATATTCAAACATGCGCATTAAAGATATTAAGATAACAAAATACGCAAGCAGTAGCAGTTGGCAGTAAGCAGCTGGCAGTTAGCAGTGAGCAGTTGGCAGTAAGCAGCTGGCAGTTGGCAGTAAGCAGTTAGCTGTCGTATATGGAATTCTATAATTAATGGAATTATGATAACATATTTTATATATTCTTTTTTACAAGGGGGGGGGGGGATTAAAAAAAAAAAAAAAAAAAAAAAAAAAAAAAAAAAAAAATATATATATATATATATATATATATATATATATATATATATATATATATATATATATATATATATATATATATATATATATATATATATATATATATATATAATTATTGGCCATGATACGTAAACTTCACTGCACGTTCATATTTTTTTTATTTTTTAGCTATGATCAACGAAGAAGTTTTTTTTAAAGGGCAGATGATGCAAACAAAAAAAATACCTGAATTGATATATATTTTTTGAACATATGTTGTAAATAATGCATGAATTCAATTTCTAACATATTAAGAAATTGCCAAACTTTCTATGAATTAGTTCAAAATTCTACCTAAATTTCTGCAATCAAGCTCATTAATCTATACAACTTTTTCACCTTTAGCATATTATTGTGAAACTTTGAATGAAAAATTTAAAAAAATATATCTATGCGGTCAAACTCATCCATTTCACTTATAAAAACATGACTTTACTACATGTAGTTATTTACATAATTTGAAAAAAGAAAAGTTTTATTTAATATATCATCTGTCCTTTAATCCAATGAGTTAAACAACTATATACCAATATTGGTTATAATGAACGTTTACATTCTTGAAATATTTATATTTTATTCACAAACAATTCTGCTCAGTAATCTAAAAGTTCTGTACAAAATACCTCGGGCTCGAAATTCCTGTGTTGCATGACCTTGAACTCTGTAGTCTTGAATCGCCTCTGCTCTGGATTGACATTTTGATGTGATAAACGAAATTTAAAATGTTGCGATTGGAGAAGCTATCGCAGTTGATGATTCGGCAGAATCTCCACAAGGTAAAGGTTCACATAAATGCAGCAGAATAACGAACTGACAACTGCGCAAAGAAAGTTAAATGCACTAAATAGTCTTGTCATGACGTTTGCATAAGACCCAATACATGAAATACACATGTACAATGCAGTAAGATGTACGAACTAGCCTATTTTACATGTCCCAAAAAGCATATTAATATGTATGTTAGCCTGCAATCTGAGATGTAAATAACCATTCTTTTGGATTTATAAACATAATACAATAATATTGTAAAGGATCGATGCTAATAATCATATTGTTAAACACATGTTCATAGAAAATGCTTTATTGTGCAATGTGTTTGACAGAAAGAGAATTCACTTTTTGTGATTAGTCAGAGAATTATTGTTGACATTTACAGGGAATTGCACCTCTCTACTGTCGTTGTGCCCACACCAAAGAACCTCTGCACCCAGAATGGAAAGCAGCAGCATCAAAAGAACTAAAGGGGAAAAAAGACATAGATTCACTGATCTGGAAAACACCCGAGGTTTGTCTATAGTTATACTGCACAGGCATCTCTCACAGGTACTTGTGGACAGGACTGTGCCAAGTATATCTGTGGCACTGTGTCTTATGTCAATGATTGTGGTAGTAGGTTACTGGTTAAGAGATAGGTGATGCCCCTCAGCTGGATGTGTATCCACTCACCAGATTTATAATCATATATAGTATGCATATGCGTGCCTACCAGTAATTCAAGACAGTAAAAAAGAACATATCACTGATATGCGAGGGGTGATCAAAAAGTTCGCGAACTATCTCTATATTTACAAAACCACAATTCAGATCAGAATGAAATTTGGCACTGCACATATAGTCATACATGTGTTCTATAAATAGCAGATGTTATGTAATGTTTTGTTCCATGTTTGTGACGTCACAATGTGAAAATGACGTCAATAGGTAGGTTACTTGTGACAAAAAATTATTGACTCGGTCGTATTCGAGCAACACACGGCTGTAAAGTTTTATGTGTACCTTTGAAATTCCTTTGTAGTACATGTAGCACATAATAATTTGTACAAAGTTTAAAAAGACAAAAGACTTGTCAGGAGTTCAATCATTAATTGGATTTATTGTTTAAGTGAAGGAAGGGAGAAGGTTAAAAATGACGTTTGTTCTGTTGCCCAATGAAAGTATGCCGGGGAAGAGATGTGTCCTTAGTGAGCAATTTGTTATGAAAGACCGCCAAGTTACAGGTAGAAAAATAGTTGGATATCTTAACAATAATATAATTATTAAATCTCTAAAATATCGTTTACTTTAGACTTTAAACATATCAGACTTTAGACTTTAAACATATCAGATATGATAAAAAGAAGGCACCCATACTCTATCCACACTGGATAAACGACTCACCCAAGACAGTGGATTCGGGTTGTGATGGCCACCATGCTCATTTTGGGAAAGGATATCCTTATCCATCCATCCTATTGCTGAGATTTGGCCATTTCTGACAAATGGACTGTTCTTGTTATAAAAAATAACTTGCATGGTAAGAAATATAAGACTCTGAAAAATCTTTTAGCTTCTGTGAACGGAACGCTTCGGAGCATGTCACGTGACAGCCTGTATCACGATTCGCGCATGGGCAGAACGGTTGCAGATGTGCATTTAAATTGGAGAGGACTACTTTAAAAATTGATAAACACAGAAACCTAATTTCATTTCTTTTATGGAAGTAATTCAATTACTTTGCGAACTTTTTGATCACCCCTCGTATATGCCCCTGAAAATATAACTTTATTTAATTATACCCAAACTTCCCTATGGAGGCTTTGAAGTAAGTCTTCTTTTTAGTATTATTTGGTATTTTATCTGATACTTTATTAGAATTAATATAAAACATGGAAAAGGATAAATGGGTACTGTCATCAGTTTTATTGGTTCAAGAGTATTTAGTCTAGTAGCAAATTTGTCTTTTACATTTGTTAATGTATGATTCTGCTGAAAAGATACTTTTTTCCACAGTGACATAACTAAACAGAATCGCAATTTCTGTTCAATCTGTAGATAGAAAATTATGCTAATTTCTTAGATTGTTGCCACTTTCTGTCTAAAATGTACTTTAAATATGCTGGGTCAAATTTCCACAGAAAATTTGTAAATTAATACCATACAGAAAAAAAGTTCTGTAAAATGTATTGTAAAGTCATTTTATTCTTCTTTCTACAGGGGATTGAAATAAAACCTGTTTATACAAAAGCTGACGTCAAAGATGTACAAGATGAGGTACCAGGACAATTTCCCTACACAAGAGGTCCCTACTCCACAATGTACACAAATAGACCATGGACAATCAGACAGGTAAGGGAAAGAGAGAGGGAGAGGCCCCTACTCCACAATGTACACAAATAGACCATGGACAATTAGACAGGTAAGAGAGAGAGAGAGAAAGGCCCCTACTCCACAATGTACACAAATAGACCATGGACAATCAGACAGGTAAGAAAGAGAGAGGTCCCACTCCACAATGTACACAAATAGACCATGGACAATTAGACAGGTAAGAAAGAGAGAGGTCCCTACTCCACAATGTACACAAATAGACCATGGACAATTAGACACGTAAGAGAGAGAGAGGTCCCTACTCTACAATGTACACAAATAGACCATGGACAATCAGACAGGTAAGAAAGAGAGAGGTCCCTACTCCACAATGTACACAAATAGACCATGGACAATCAGACAAGTAAGAGAGAGAGAGAGGTCCCTACTCCACAATGTACACAAATAGACCATGGACAATTAGACAAGTAAGAGAGAGAGAGAGAGGTCCCTACTCCACAATGTACACAAATAGACCATGGACAATTAGACAGGTAAGAAAGAGAGAGGTCCCTACTCCACAATGTACACAAATAGACCATGGACAATTAGACACATAAGAGAGAGAGAGGTCCCTACTCTACAATGTACACAAATAGACCATGGACAATCAGACAGGTAAGAAAGAGAGAGGTTCCTACTCCACAATGTACACAAATAGACCATGGACAATCAGACAAGTAAGAGAGAGAGAGAGGTCCCTACTCCACAATGTACACAAATACACCATGAACAATTAGACAGATAAGAGAGAGAGGTCCCTACTCCACATTGTACACAAATAGACCATGGACAATCAGACAAGTAAGAGTGAGAGAGAGAGAGGTCCCTACTCCACAATGTACACAAATAGACCATGGACAATTAGACAGGAAAGAGAGAGAGAGAGAGGCCCCTACTCCACAATGTACACAAATAGACCATGGACAATCAGACAGGTAAGAGAGAGAGAGAGAGAGAGAGGTCCCTCTCCACAATGTACACAAATAGACCATGGACAATCAGACAGGTAAGAGAGAGAGAGAGGCCCCTACTCCACAATGTACACAAATAGACCATGGACAATCAGACAGGTAGAAATAGAGAGAGAGAAGGGGAAGGGGAGAATTAAATGTAATTTAGTATAAATAGTTTCCATATCACACATGCTAAAAAGGGATACATGTACTTTTTTCTAGTAATATTTACTTAAGTGTGAGAAGTTTTTGCAGCATTTTGGACTGACTGGCCAACTCATGAGAAAACTTGTCTTTCACACACTGTGTTACAATGTGTGATGTTCGTAAAGCAATTAATTAAGAAGTCTGAATAATCATCATGAATTTCACTCGGCTACATGACAAATATATTCCTTCAACAGTTTAATGAGTTTGTTAAGTTAAATGATTTCACATGTAATATTTGATTGACAGATAAAATATTCTCTAATTTCAACACTGATTTTTTCAGTATTCAGGGTTTAGTACAGTAGAAGAGAGCAATAAATTCTACAGAGACAATATAGCTGCTGGCCAGCAGGGACTCAGTGTAGCCTTTGACCTTCCAACACACCGGGGGTAAGACTTCATACTCTTGGATTCAAAGTGATCACTGACCTATCAACATCTAAACATTTAGACTGTTTATGCAAAGCAGCCAATTTAGAATCAGTTTTTTTAAGCTAAGAGTCCAGTGCCATCAAGTGAGTTTTTCTGGTCAGAAATTGTTTTTGCCCTGTTTTCATTCATAATATACAGGTTTTCCAAGAATTGCTTTATAAATGTATTTCTGAATTATATAATTTTCCAAAATTGTCATCAAAATCTGTATACTAGGTTGACTCTTTTCTTTGCACCGAAAATTAACACAGGATAAAACTCTGCCATTCAGTAAACTGAAAGGTGACTGAAAGTCTACTGAAAGGTGACTGAATGGCAGAGCTCTGTGACCTTTCAGTGACCTTTCCAAACCATTCAGTCACCGTTCAGTTGACTAAATGGTGTAGGTTCATCCTGTGTAAAGGTGTACTTAAGACTACATGTTGCATACTTTGAGACTTAACAACATATCTTCAAATTTAAATCACTATTACTTATTTGTAGCTATGACTCGGATAACGAGCGTGTCGTCGGAGATGTTGGAATGGCGGGGGTTGCTATTGACTCCATGGAGGACATGAAACTCTTGTTTGACGGAATCCCACTGAAGAAAATCTCCACCTCGATGACAATGAACGGAGCTGTACTTCCTGTGATGGCTATGTTTATAGTCGCAGCAGAGGAACAGGTTGGTACAGTGGGATTTTTCAGTTGATACAAGTCATGTAGTAAATATGAAAGGGTATTTGAACTTTGAATCCTTTTACTAATTAGTCGATTGAAATTTTCATATTGAAACTGTTAAAAAGGGAGTTCTGTTGAATTATCAAACTGAGAATTGAGAGTTGCTGGATGTCCAACTCTGCCTAATTCTCTTGTTTTCTGTTTTGAATCTGAATGGTGATTTATGTAATAAAGGTGCAAACTTTTAAAAAACTGGAGCCAGATGATCAGATGCTACAGTATGTTTTTCAATCTTACAGTTAGTAAATTCATTAACTGATTTTTATCCTATAGGGAGCCAAACAGGAAGAGCTGGCTGGTACAATACAGAATGACATCCTTAAAGAGTTCATGGTCAGGAACACATACATTTTCCCCCCAGAGCCCTCCATGAAGATCATTGGGGACATTTTTGAGTACACCTCCAAGGTATTGAAAGTTTTAGTCCAAAACATGTCAATTAATTTCATAAGGTAGCATTCTGTTGGGCTGTAAGTTTACTTTTCACTGATTAAGAATAATATACATGTATTTACTATTAGACATTTAAATAAGGTATTGTAAATAAAGTAAAAAAAGCTGTGTTTCAGTCGTGTCATCTCTTACAATTAGCTTGTCTTATTTACATGAATATTTACATGTATGTCCCACTTATTTGATGTTGTAATCAACGTTAATTGCAGCACATGCCAAAATTCAACTCCATATCGATCTCAGGGTATCACATGCAGGAGGCCGGGGCTGATGCAGTACTAGAAATGGCATTCACACTGGCGGATGGTCTACAATACATCAGGACAGGTGTGATATACATGTACATTATTATACAGTCAAACTTCGTTATCTTGAACTCTATGGGATGGAGAAAAAACTTTGAGATATCCGAGGTGCGAAATATCAAGGGTAAAATACTTAAGAAATACATGTTTAGGATGTCACTTCAACATAACCATGGTATCATGGTATTCGAGATATCCGCATTCAGGATACCAAAGTTCAATTGTACTTTCATTTTAAATACTAAGATTTGATTGGTTTAGATGCATTTAACAATTTGTTATGTTACCGTCAGCATTAGCAACACACTTGACAACTGGTACAGGGCTCGACGTTAACGCTTGTCCGCTTGTCCAGTACCAGTGAAAAAAAATACGGACAAGTTAATATTGCTGGGCACTTGTCCGATTGGACAAGTGCATTTTTATGTAAAGAAGTCTCTAAATATTTAAAAGAACGACTGTTGAAAGTTTACCGGTATTTTAAGACGGAAACAGTACATAAAAACCGAACTTCGATCCCGATATAGATCGCTATGTAATTGAGTACACTCGATCGGGATTGAAGTTCACTAATTGCATACTACTGCAAAGGCATGAAACTGACGAAATTTGGATTCTGTTTTATGTTGACAGCATTTATGTTGTCAGGACAGAAAGTCTAGATAATTTTTGTATTATGTGTTTGTTGTATTTATAAATAAATCATGCACATGTAATGGACTTCATTTTTAGTTTTTCAGTTAACAGTATTAAATCTTTATTGAAAATTTTTCGGACAAGTGAAGTTGAAGTTCGGACAAGTAAATTCCTTGGTCACTTGTCCAAATGGACAAGTAGGAAATAAAGTTAATGTTGAGTCCTGTGGTAACACAACAATAATGTCACAAGCATGTAAACTATGGGCATACAGTTCGCCATAGAATTCTCAAAGTAGAAAGAAGCCAAATAAACTTGACATCAACCAAAACTTGCGTCCGATGTAGCTTGATTGAAAACAACAAATGACAGACAAAAAATGCTTACAAGTACAGAAATAAGGAAACTTCAGATGATAAAGGACTCTCTGAGTATTAAACAAACAATGAAGGGGGGTCAGTAAATCTTTTCTGAAGCTTTCTTATTGAGAAAAACAAGCAGGGAGTTTAAAAGCTTTCTAAACGTGTACTTAATGACTATAACTTGTTCCTCTTAAGGTTGACAAAGCAGAAATCAAGAGGATGTAAGAGAGCTAGTTGATTGTTATAAAGGTTTTTGTTCACAGTTTTGTGTTAAATCAGGAAGATCTTATTCAAATTGAAAGCCTGCTACAATACCCTGCTGATAACAACTTTATTTTCTTCCTATGAAATATTGACATTTTCTCAGAATATTTACATGTAGTTGACTGTTATATTTTTGTCTGTGGTAGTTCTGTAATAGACAGCACGTTTTTATTTCACAGGTTTGGAGAGGGGGCTAGATGTGGACAAGTTTGCCCCTCGACTTTCCTTCTTCTGGGGAATAGGAATGAACTTCTACATGGTAGGGGGCAAAATTGTTTGCAAGTGTGAAAAGGCAAAAATAACACAAGGTGAAAATAACCCTGTATACAGTATTTGGCTGTGACTTCCTTTTCATTAGTAATACAAAAAATCTCCTTCTGTATTGTTTCAAAAATAAATTTAATAAATGTGTAGCCTACTTCTACTATATTGAAATTTATTAAAGGTTGTCTCCTACATGTATTTCACATGCTTCAGTTTTAAGTGCTAATTTCATGCAGATCTTAAAAAGAAATGAAGTTTCCTTAAGATTTTGAGGCTTGTTAAATGATCTTCTGACTTTCAAACCTTCATGCTAAACATCAAATAAATGTTGTACATTCTAATCTACTGATTAAATCATTTCAGGAAATTGCTAAGATGAGAGCTGCTAGAAGACTGTGGGCAACACTGGTGAAGGAAAAGTTTGGTCCCAAGAATCCTAAATCTCTTTTACTTCGGGCTCATAGTCAAACCTCAGGCTGGTCACTGACAGAACAAGTAATGTAGCATTGATATTCATGATAGTTAATTGGTCATTGACAGAACAAGTAGTGTAGCATTGATATTCGTGATACATGTAGTTAAAGAGGACCCCCTGAGATGAAGTCTCATTAATTTTTGTGGGGATCGAATGTTGTAGTTTGGGAAAAATATACTTTTGTTGATATGCAACTTTTTTGAGAACTGCCTTTGTCTATTCTATTTTTAGAATTATTTTTATCATCTATTTTCATGGTCTGAATCACCATAAAAACAACAAAAATTGCTATTACAGTAGTTTATGGGCAACATATTATTTAGCTTTTATACATGTAGATGTTGGTTTGAGGTGTTTCCCATTATAAAATTTATGTAATTTACTGAATATCAACTTAACCAAGTTACAGTAAAACACAGGTACATCGAACAGGCTTTTGATGATTTTATGCTTACAGTAAAGTGACGCTTCGCTAGAAGCATATTTTACTAATACATTTCATTTATGACTACTCCCCTTACTCCACCATTCAAAAAGTCATATTGTTATCTGTTAAAGTGCTTGCCGTTAACACTTCAGTATGACTAATTCATCATGCACTGCTGTTTTCCCAACAGGATGCCTACAACAATATTGTACGTACTGTGATCGAGGCTATGGGGGCAGTATTCGGGGGGACCCAGTCTCTACACACAAACTCCTTTGATGAGGCGCTGGGTCTACCGACTCCATTTAGTGCCAGAATTGCCAGGAACACACAGATTATATTACAGGAAGAGTCGGGCATACCCAAGGTACATGTTTATACTTGTATGTGGTATTTCAAACAATCTCAATATACAGGTAGATGTACAGTGCAAATGTATATATTATTTCTCAGATGTTCAAAATCTCAACTGCAATGTCAGATATTTTTTTAGAAATTAAAGAAAAAATTTTATTATGGTGATTATTAGGGTTTTTTAAAAATAGTATTTTTATTGACATTTGCTAGTTTCCATTCACTTTTTAGACACAACAAGAGTATACATATGTAGTATGGAAAGGAGGAATGAGTTAATATACATTGAAAATTCATAAATATATATATAATGAAGACATATGGCTGGACCGGGAATCGAACCCGGGACCCCTGCATTACTAGTCAGGTGCTCTAACCACTGAGCTATCCAGGCCGATGTCCTCAGTCCAGCCTAAATTCCTACATTCCTCCCTCCTTAAATAGTCTTCACCCTCGAAGACACAACACAGGTTCACCTTGCCAGGACTTCACATTAATTACAGTCATGTATATTTATTATATTGCCTGAACAAGGTAGGCCACTGCACCATCTGTAGTATGGAAAGGAGGAATGAGTTAATATACATTGAAAATTCATAAATATATATATAATGAAAAACATATGGCTGGACCGGGAATCGAACCCAGGACCCCTGCATTACTAGTCAGGTGCTCTAACCACTGAGCTATCAAGGCCGATGTCCTCAGTCCAGCCTAAATTCCTACACATGTATTGTATATAACAGTAACTACATGTAACTTACATGTCAATTTGATATGTTAATTCAGGTGGCAGATCCTTGGGGTGGATCCTATATGATGGAGAGTCTGACTAACGATATTTACGATGAAGCGCTGAAACTCATCAACGAGGTCTGTGTGTTTAAGAAATATCTATTTTATGATACTCTATGTATTTAAAAAATGACATTATATAAGTGTATATTTTTTGTTCAGAATAATTTAAATGAATGCAGAATGTTGTGATAGTGAATACATCATCTTCCTAGCGTCATGAGCATTGTAAATGTTTGTAGATAGAGGAGATGGGAGGAATGGCTAAGGCAGTGGCCTCGGGGATGCCTAAGTTACGGATTGAGGAGTGTGCGGCCAAACGGCAGGCCAGGATTGACAGTGGTGCAGGTAAAAACATCCCAAATAAAGTATATCTGTTTGTGAAATCTTATGTCAGAACAGTGGTTTATTTCTTTTACAGGAATGGTCATTTCACATGAATTCTTCTCTCCCTCCCCTCAAACACAGACATGTACACACCCCTCTTTCTCCCCCTCTCTCAGAAATCATTTTTAAAAATTGCCAGTCATGTTGTTATGAACTTTTTATGTCAGACTATTTAAATCATTAATTTTACAATTATTCTTAAACTTAAAGGACTTATCGCATGATCTTTCAAAAATCGTAATTTTATGAAAAATATTATCTATAACCTTATTTATTAAAATACTGAATACAATAAACGTTGTTGAAAGCATATTTTAAGAGATATGGAGAGTTGAAATTCAAATATGGCAATATGCATATTTCAGTCGGATTTCGGCGAAATACTACTCTGACGTCATAGGCGACATTCGGTGATAGAGAGATGAGAATATGCACACTATTTACGGAGTTATCAATGACAAATGCAGCTTAATTACGAAAAATGCTGAAAAAATTAATTCCTTATATGCTTTTTAATTACTATAGAACATTAATTAGTTCTAAGGTATAAGGCTTTTAAGATATTTTCGTTTTTTATTCAAAACATTTAGAACCTGTAGCTCTAATTACGGCAATGTTTCGTGATCGGGAAATTACTTTTCAAGATCGCCATCCTTTAAAAAACATATGAAGACTTGCATAAATTAATGTTATATACAAAACGAAGAATACCAAAGTTATATAATGTTTAATTTGTGAATCAAATAAGTTAAGACATGTGATAAGATGACAAGTCAAATTGCATTGTTATGGCGAGTTTCTTCGTCTTCGCTGCGTCTCCCTCGCTATCGTCGCTGCTATTTTTACAAAGTTAACAGATTTTTCAGATTTTTTCTTGCTGACAATTCTAAAATATAAGGTTGAATATTCAATTTATATCGATAAAATATGTGATTTGGTCGTCCACAACGCAGAAAATTCAGGTTGTATCGCGTATATTTTAGTAAGATTAATGAAGAGCTGATCAGCCATTGTCGCCTTTGACGTCACAGGGTCACGTGATCGCTATCTAATTAACTTAGATTTTTAATTCAGGGGTTTTCATTTGAATCAATAATTGGTTAATTACCGCGATTTATCCACAGTAAAACACAAAATTTATAAATTGTGGTCATAAGGAACGTAATACGCTTTTAATTTCAAATAATTTAGAAACATGCGATAAGTCCTTTAAGGGCAGATAATTAAATGAAAATGTTTTTGAAGACTAAAGTTTACTAATCATATATAATTTCTTTAACTGCTACTACGTCATGTAAGTGTACTAGTTGACATGTAACTATCTAGTTGTTGACTCTCTTTGTTAGTGAATGATATAACATAATTATTAGATATAATTATGATGTTTATGTGAAACTTTCATTTTAAAACAGAGGTAATTGTTGGAGTGAACAAGTACAGACCTAAAGAGGAACATCAGGTGGACGTTCTGTGTATTGACAATAAACACGTACGGGAGAGTCAGATTCAGCGACTGAACAAGACGCGGGAAAACAGAGACCAGAAAAAGGTACATGAAAATACTGGCAAATGTAATATTTATTGGCAAGAAAACAGGTTTTTCCTATTTGTACAAAATTTCTGAATCAAAATATATTTGAAGTTGGTATGGACTCACCTCCCCTAGGAAAAAATTCCAACGTTGATACCTTCAAATTAGAAAGGTCAATGTCTACTTGGAGACCAAAAAAAAAAAATTTTTTTTTAAATTCAGGAATATAGTATTACATGTATGTATATAAAACAATGATTTGAGACTACAAATATTAACATTAGAATATGTAAGATCTAGAAATGTAAAAGATGATGTCCTGTAATTTCAATATTTAATTACATATACAGTTAAACATACATGTACTATGTGAAAAAAGATGATTGGAGACTTACTGACACAATAGAATATAGAAAATCTAGGGACTTACAAATATGTGCTCTAATATTTCAGGATTATCACTTGTATCAAATGTTTAAAAATGGAGACTTGAAACTTTTGAAAAGATGTTACCCTATTTTTTCTTTTAGGCTCAGGAAGCATTAGAAGCCATCACTGAGGCATGTTCCAGTAAGAATGGAAACCTTCTTAAGCTGTCCATAGATGCTGCCAGGGCACGATGTACAGTGGGCGAAATCACACAGGCCATGGAAAAGGTAAAGATCACTCCCCCACCACAGGGGAGGGGAGTATCTCTATCTATGAAATCACACAGGCCATGGAAAAGGTATAAATCACTCCACCACCACAGGGGAGGGGAGTATCTCTATCTATGAAATCACACAGGCCATGGAAAAGTTATAGATCACTCCACCACCACAGGGGAGGGGAGTATCTCTATCTATGAAATCACACAGGCCATGGAAAAGGTATAGATCACTCCACCACCACAGGGGAGGGGAGTATCTCTATCTATGAAATCACACAGGCCATGGAAAAGGTATAGATCACTCCACCACCACAGGGGAGGGGAGTATCTCTTTCAATGACAGATACGTGTTCATAAGCATTGACCAGCTGTTGAGATGGGTGAAATGTTTTACATGTATATAAGCATGGGCTTGTGGGTGAGTCAGGGGAAAGAGTATCGATGTAGGGAATGACTTGTTGATAAATTGGGAAAAGAGCATGTCTCTTTGTCTCTGTAGGCTTTAATGGTTTGTTGCTAAGTTATGTGGGAAGCATGTTTTTATAGGCATTGACTTGTTGCGCAGCTCCAACGTGACATAGGTTTGTCAGATCCTTAAATATAGCTCCAGGATTGCACTGCTGGAAGAATGAGGCTGCATTAACATGTACATAAAATGGTTTTGTCAAGAGCACTGAAGGGATATTTTACATTTTCATGTAGGGTTGTACAGTCGATAATTAACAAAATTGGCAGTATACTACAGTTTCTTTAAATTTTATTACTATTGAACTTGCTTACTTGTAGTTAAGAGTATTATGTAGTGTCATGTATCTTGATATGATGTGATTTATAGGTATATGGCAGACATGTGACAAGTGATTTTTGTGTATTGATTTGTTGATCTATAGGTATATGGCAGACATGTGGCCAGTGATAGATTGGTCAGTGGAGCCTACAAGACAGAGTTTGGAGAAGTGGATGAAATCACTCAAGCCACACAGAGAGTTCAAGTATTGATTAAAATAAATAAACAAAAATGTTAAAAATCACATTACATGTATAGGTAAAATTATGTTTGTGAATAAATGAAATATTCATTTTTTTTTTGTTTTATGTAGAAAAATTAAGTAAAGATGAATTGTATTTATTGTACAGTATTAACATAATTTTATATTTTAAAACTTTTCTGAAACTGAGAAATAAATTATTTTTTCTTTAAAAATACTTAAAAAAGACTAACAAATCAAAAGAGCACATCAATCTAAATTTACAAACCTATCAAAATTATGTAGCTTCATTTTGGTAATTTTTCCCTTAACATTTACGTAAGTTCATCTCAGATTAACCTTTGTATTTAAATTTTTTTTTACATGCTCACCTTTTTTTTTGGCATCACAGTATATAAAATTTTAATCTTATGGGGGAAAAAACAGTTCAAATTATTTTTTAGCTTAATAAAACTGCTTCATATTTTATAGAAATTTGCGGAGACAGAAGGGCGACGTCCACGTATCCTGGTGGCCAAAGTGGGTCAAGATGGACATGATCGTGGCGGAAAGGTCATCGCCACAGGTTTCGCTGACTTGGGATTTGATGTTGATATTGGCCCATTGTTCGCTGTTAGTTAAAGCTATTTTACTATGTACATGTACCATTTCATATGTAAAGAGGCAAACTCTTTTTTCATCTGTAAAAAAGAAACTTTTGAAATTTATCCTGACCATTTGATGATGTTCTTTGAACTTCCTCATCTTGCTCATTTTCTTGCATTCATGTCTACATCTCATATTTGCTTTTTTACTAATATAAGGCATGTATACATAAGTCAAAGAGAAAACATTTCTCTAGTGGGAGGAGGGGGGGGGGGGGGGGTTCTTCTTTGGTAATTTTATATATGACTCAGGCACATAAAAATCTGATGACTGAAACAAAATGTGTAGACATATAAGTAGCAATGTTATCGGAAATGTGAATTTCTTGGTGTCTTTGGTGACAATTTTAAACAAAAACAAAAATTGATGAATACCTGTAAAGTTTTTCTTCTATCTGAATGTTCCCTCTCTAATAATGACAAATGTTTTATAAAATTCCTCTATCTCATTCCTGACATTTTACAGACTCCAAAGGAAGCAGCCCAGCAGGCAGTGGATGCTGATGTCCACGTTTTAGGGGTCAGTACTCTGGCGGCTGGACACAAAACTCTCATCCCAGAGGTCATCCAAGAACTCAAGAAAATGGGCAGACCGTAAGTGGAATAGGCCCACTGAAAGATTATTGATTAATTGTATGTTGTTTTATGTCCCATTTGAGAATTTTGCACTCATATATAGACATCACCATATACCAACGAAGGGCTTCAAATTTAGACATTTACTTGGCACTCAGGGCCTTTGAGAAGTGAGGGATATTCATCATGCCACGTGCCATGACACAGGTCCTTGGTTTTTAAGGTCTCATCTGGAAGACCCACAACTTTCACTTCAAAGTGCCGAGCGTTTGACAAAGGAACAGTTGCTAGCTATTTTTTGTAGACCTAGGTCAGTCGCAGCCAGGGTTTGAACCCATGACTTTCCGATAACAGAGCAATCCCTCTACTGACAGAGCTACCTTGCATGTTCGGTCCCCATTGAGAGAATGGGTAGATCATTACATTTACATGTAGTAGGATGAACCATTTGTAAAAACCAACAAGCTATAAGTTGGATGAGCCAGTTTTTAAAAAATGGCTAACCATATATAGAATAGGATGCTTAAAAGTGGACAAATTAGGGGAAATTTTGAGAACATTTAAATATTTGATGGTGTCTGAGTAGAGTTTGAGAACTGCTGAAAAAAAATCAAAGGGATGAGTAAAATTGTGAACAGATACTTGTAGAGTAAGAATTGAAATTTAATTTAAATAATTTGTATACTAAAGGGAAAAAAATTTGCTACATTAATTTTGCAAATTGTGAATTTGTTAATTACCATTGTAAGCTGATGACCGATTGACGAGCTACGAAACATGACCAAAAAAAAAATCTTAACAATAAGAACCACAGCATATTATATAATACAAATTGTTATGTGGTTATATATTTGGGTTGACTTTCAGTGGTTTATTTGATTTGTTACAGTGATATTCTAGTGGTAGCTGGGGGAGTTATTCCACCTCAGGACTATGAATTCCTGTATGAAGCTGGTGTCTCTGCCGTGTTTGGTCCAGGTAGGTTATCAGCTCAGGAAATATACACATTGTACTGCATATATACATTAAAACATGCTTACAACAAAGTTCCAGGGACAAACAATTTGATTTGTTGTAAGCATGATTCATCATATACATGTAACATGTTAATGTCAGTTTTACAGGGAATGAAAATCACTTCACTATAAGCATGAATTCATTATAAGCATGTTCAGTGCAAAAGTGTTTAACTGTTTAGCCATATTTACAAAGGCAACTTGCTTACCTAAATTCTGATGATTTACTGTGGTGAAATTGAATTAACATCCTCCACGAATTAATATAAAATTTAAACTAGGGTTACAAAGTGATATTTCCTATTGTAGGCATAAGAGAATGCATGAAGTAACATAAAAAATTTAAGCGATCCAAGAAAATTAGCCCCCCAAAGATTTTAATGATTCCACAGTAATTTTTTTAATGTGACATTAATTTATATCATGATCTTGCTTTTAGTGCCTACTTTGTTTATAAAGACTTTTTCTGTGGATTGCTGTTTGACTGAATTTTATAGTTTCTGTGAAACAGTAAAATAGTGATTACAGGAAGCAAAAATATTAGGGATGGCAATCGAATACAGAATTGCTAATCGGTTAACCACAGAGGTTGCGACCGATTGACCGGTTAATCGTATCAAAATGCACATTTTCATGACTTTATTTTCAAGAACCTCTTTATCATATAAACACAAGAAGACTAAAAAGACATTAGAAGTTAGAAACATTCTGTTTACCTTGATCAGGAATCTTCATGTAAATACATTTTATTTCAATCGACAAGAAAAAATTAAGAAAACCCATGAAACATGCCTGAGAAATCAGACATTATGATAGATGACACACAAGTTTTCATACTGCATTGGTACCATAATCAAAATTGAGTCGGAACTTTCACTTAATTTACCATGTTTGTGTAATAATAAAATTTGATGGATAACTGCAAAAGACAGTCGTAACAATTCACAATGCTCAATTGTGATTTGTTTAATCATATTCATTAAAGAATTACAGGACAGTCGGGAGTAATGGCATGTTGTTTAAACAGTAATTAACACTTCACAAACTGCCAATTACCCCCGCGATCTCATTCCAGCAAGCCATAATTACCACCAAATTAGCTTAAATAGATATGTGAAAATGCTAAATTATCAGTGACTTTCCTGAGGTTTCTTTTATAAAAATGAATTTTAAGAAAACTACTTTCAAATTTACATGCATTTTATTTTTTTCGACTAACCGATTACAGATTTTCTAACCAATTACCATCTTTCCGACCGAGTAATTAATTAACCAGTTACAAACTGCCATCCCTAAAAAATATACATGTATTTAAAATTTAGGGTCTTTTTTATGTAACTGTTGCATTTTATTGGTGTATGGGACTCAAATATATTAGGATTCATTAATATCAAAATTCAGCTGATGAATCTAGGTCAACTAACTGATTTTGACTCAATTTGTTTTATTTTTTTAGGTACTAGAATTCCAGATGCTGCCATCAAGGTGATAGATATGCTTGAAAAGAACAATGACAATACAGACAAAGCAAAATCTGCCACAGGCTGAGAATAGTGGAACTTTGTAATAAAGAGATGTCATAAATTGACACTAAATCATGAATTTAGCTTCTCGCTTCCTATCATGTTACAATTAACATAATCCTGATGGCAAGAACATCTCCAGAAACAGGTTTCACCCTGAATGTGTTGAAGTTTGAACCCTTAAACATATAATTATCTTTTCTTTAGAAGATGTTGAGCACATGGAATAATTGTCCCAATGTTAGAATGCTAAGACACATGGATCATGTTTGTAGAATTCATATTATTTTTGACATGCAGTGTGCCATATTCTGCATAATATGTAACCACCTTTAATTTTGATTTCAAAATAGTGTAGGATTGGAAAACTTAAAGTCATGAATTGATCTTTTTATTTGAATTAAAATGAAGGAAAAAAAAAACAGAAATGTCATTGATGTAACTTTAATATTCATTTTGTTTTAACAATTCAGTTTTTGCTGAATTTTTAATTTGGTGACTAAAATGTGATATTGCTAAATTAAAAATTTAACATATTTTACCTTTTTGACTGAAAAGTATTTCCTTTCCTAACTGGTCAGAGCTAAAGGGAAACAATGTTTTACTACAGACAATCCTAAAAAAAATCTATTTCTAGTAAAGTGAGATATTCAAGGAAAAAAATATCGGATTTATTGATCATTGCCCCAGTTGTTTAAGCTGCAGAGAGGCTTGTTAATGGATTTTTTCAATGACTCAGTTTAAAGATGTTTGCATTAATTTTCACCTTTGGAACATTCAGTGCCTACTTACTATCATTCTCTATGGTTGACAAATTTGCCCTAACTTGATAACATTTGAAAAGAAAAACTAAAATTTTTTTTTGTAATACATAAAAATTATGCTGTTTCAAAAACATATGTACAGTATTTTCAAAGGTACAATAGTCATGTATTTAGAATTAGATATGAAATGAGCTCTTAATGTATCAATACATATATTATTTATGTATACACCAGTGTATAATTATTGATGTGATTGTTGCTTTTTCAGTAAATTAAACAAAATTAAAACAATTTTATCTGTTTATTTTTTTTGTTTGTTTTTTTTTAAATGCAAGTGATGTTAATGATTTCTGAGTACACTTTTCCTAAAGATGCACTTTTTGTGTGTCACCTGCAGAGCAGCAGAGCGGCAGTTAGGGATCACTTTACCCGGCCTCTGTCTGTCTGTCTGTCTAGCTGCCTGTCTTCCATGTATCACAACCTATCATGGCCGTAGGAACCGGGGGAGGGGGGGGGGGGCACGTGCCCCCCAATAATTTTGCCGATATATAGATTGCTATAGTAAACGTAGATACTTTATTCTTGTGTGCCCCCTCAATATATATACTGTATACAGGGAGATTTTCGCCCCCGTTTTTTTTTCGCCCCTTTCGCCCTACTCACAGGTTTGCGAATTTAAAACGGGGCGAATTCAAAGAACACAGTATAATTTCTTACACAAAACTTTGACTGGGCGAATTTAAAACAAGGTAATATTGTTTGCAAGTGTGAAAGAGCGAAAATAACATGGGGCGAAAATAACCCTGTATACAGTATATATATATATATATATATATATATATATATATATATATATATATATATATATATATATATATATATATATATATATAGTAACGAAACCGATGGAATAGGGTATTAACTAATCAGTTAATCGTGGGCCGCTGTTGGTTACTAACTAGTCAAGGTTGAAATGGTTGTCCACAAAGTTTATATACAATCGGAATAATGACCAATTTTTGGTCCACTGAATAATTGACGAAATGACCAACTTTAGTTCACTATGATATCTGCACTAGAACCGTGATGAATAACACGTTGTAAAGTTTATGATATTTATTAAGACGATCAAATGGTTCAATTATAAGCACAATGATAAACTTGGTTGGTACAACGTTATTTGATAGTGATGAACCGATCCAGGACGTTACCATTAATTTGGTAATAAACTATAAGAACTAATGCCACAAAACCAATATATGGTTAAACGTAATTAGACTTGGTAATGTTTGTACATACCACTGTCTTACTTCGAGAGATGCTGAGTCGCTCTCCACAGTCGACTGGCTTCTCCTCACAAAACAGCTGACTTATATAGACAAAAGTTGTTATGATGACGTATAAACGTCAGATACCAATAACGTCACAATGGCCAAACCCTAATCTTAATTAGCGCCCTTAACTCAGAAAAATTAATTAATAACGTTGTACCAATACAGAACTTCATGAAGAATAACACTGCATTTTTTTTTCTCATTATACAAATATAAATAAAGTGCAATTATATCATTCTTTGTTAATTTCTTTGTTAACAGTCAATTTACAAATACATAGGAAGTTTTTTGGCATCGGGCTCAGAGTTCGTTTTATTCTTACTTTTATGCGGTTAGTCCAAACGAAAATCACAACACTGTACACATATATAATGATATGGATTTAACGTAATGTAATAAGTGAGTCAATTATAATATCGTTATTAATAAATTATCCTGAACATTATGTTCATAACAATATGGTAAGTTCGTGACAATACCCCCCTCTTAAGGCGAAACGTCCTCGTTTCGGGGTAATTAGTCCACTAATTGAAGCCTTACTGAACACTGAGTCTGCGCGTCCACCTGTTGTTGGCCCTCTGTTTGAGTAGATGCATTTTTTGTAACTAAGGATGTTTGGCACCACATTGACTGAAGTCTATATACGGTTCCGTCGGGGAGGTGGGCTGTTTCCATTTTCTTGACATGATCTAATCCTAAGGGGAAGAAGGCTCCTTCTCTATTTTGTGTCTCTATAACTTTTGCTCTTATGTTTTGCAAAACTGCAGCGTTGTCATCTGTTCTATATGCTGAAGGGGCCCCTGAGAAGAAAAACCTAGGATCCAGGTGAAGGTGGTCATATGTTGATTTTTCTTTTACTGTGTCTGTCAATTTCTTGGGAGGTGCGAATCCTTCGTTAATTTGGTCTGTACTTGAAGTAAGGGTCTTCTCCATTAAAGACTCTTTTTCTGGTTGAGGTGTCAGTGGTCCCACTTCAGGTTGTTGTAATAATGATTCCGCCTCAGGTTGGGATAATAGTGGTCCCGATTCTACTGGCTGGGTCACCGTGGCTGGTGGTGACGAACTATTGTTGAGAATTGGTGATAGCAATTTGGGCATCTTGAACAGAGCCACGCATGACTTTGGTGAATGGGTTGAGAGACGCTCATCTCGTACTGGAGTCTCTCTTGATTCTTTACTTTTTTTTATGGTCTTCTTTGTGAATTTTTGGATTCTTCTTAGGTCCTTCATGGATAGGGTCATATCTACATTTAGCCTCATGAGCATATAACTGACTTTTTCTAGATCTGGACATTGCCATTACACAGCCTAAAGGAGCATATTTGCAGGGAATTGGTTGAGTATCATGCCTGTCTCTGATATGGCGGCTCAATTGACGCCAGGAGAGGTACATGCGGAAGCACGTGGTACACTTGAACATCTTGAACTGAAATAAAACGAAATTATTGTCACTGCCTTTTCATTGTTAAAATTAACTGGTTATAACATTCCAAAGAAAAGGCCACTGGATTGGTTCATCTTACAATAAGATTAGCTGCTATTTATTAACACAGTAACTAAATTGTTTTTGTTTTTGTTTTTATATGCGCATTAACAGGATGTAACATCGTCTTTTTCACAACGGAACAGTTTCATCTGGTCATGATGCACATATTTTGGTTTCTCGGCTTTAGACTTTTTCACTTTGTATATCAAATCGGACACAGCACATAACACTACATAGGGTCCATTCCAATGAACCTGAAGTTTGGGACATCTTCCTTTGGTCCTTGATTTTGATGCAATCCACACATGTTGTCCTGGGGTGTATTGAATCTGGTTTGCCTTGATGTCATATTATCGTTTCTGGTTCTCGTTCGCGAGTATCATTTTTCTCCTGGCTTTCTCGTGGATGTCTTCTAAGTTGGTTTTCATCTCGTCAACGAACTCGTGGTAGCTTTCATGACAAGTTTCCCTTGGATTGTGCCCATACACAAGGTCAACAGGTAGCTTTAACTCTCTACCAAAATTTAATTTTGCCGGACTGTATCCTGTAGTCTCATGAACTGACGATCGGTAGGCAAGCATTAGTAATGGTAAAACTTCATCCCAATTCTTTTGGTTAGGTTGTATATACTTGCTTATCATATCTTCTAGCGTTCGGTTGAATCTCTCTACTAGGCCATCACTCTTTGGATTGAATGGGGTTGTTCTTGTTTTCTCTATTTGTAACATCTTGCACAAGTCTTGAAACAATGTCGACTCAAACTGTCTGCCTTGGTCAGTGTGAACCTGGAGTGGGACTCCATACCTTGAAATAAATTCATCTATAAAAATCTTTGCAATGGTTATTGCCTCTTGGTTTTTGTATCTATCTATCTATATATATATATATATATATATATATATATATATATATATATATATATATATATATATATATATATATATATATTTTTTTTTTTTTTTTTTTTGCTTGTCAAGGAATTTTTGGTAGTAGATAGCTTTTTTTTTCTCTTTTCTTTTTTTGTTTGTCAGGAAATTTTTGATGGTGCCCCCTCAACTGTCAACTGAAAAAATATATGGCTGTGCCCCCCCCCCCCCCAACTGAAATTGCTTTCTATGGGCCTGCCTATGTCTCAAAAACTGTAAGAATTACATGTATGGATTTGATATTTTGCACATATATTGCTTTGCACTACGGATTTTGTAAAATACCCTGATTACTGCCCTCGTGACCCTTGGCCTTTGATCTACTTTTCAAAATAGTTTATAGTGCCGATATACAGCATATTTTTGACATTTTTAAAGAGGTAAGTTTATGCTATTTAGCATATGCACTGTTTGTCATGAGGGTGAATTAAAAAAAAATGACCAAAAGCATATTTATCAACCCACACCAAAAATTCAGGCAATAAATGTCTCGGCATATGTCGTTAGATAGTGTCTAAATACCTACCAAATATCTCGTTGATATATCAATTAAAAATACCTGCCAAATATCTCGTTGATATCTCAATTAACAAATAATTATGCCCAAAAATAATGCAAAAATTGTCAGGAGTGCAACACATTTTTGTGACATTTTGAAATTTCATTATTTTTTTTGAGATCTGTGAAATAAATAATAATGCTTTATGTTGAAAATAAAGACTTTCCTGATAATATTCAAAGTATTGAGCTTTAAATGTGGATTGTAGTAACTTTCGTTTAATCAAGTTGTGGTCATGGCTGATGTTTAAAAAAATGTTATACCATGTCAGGAATGCAACAGAAAAAATGTAGTGTTACCAAAAAACATCAACTGTAAAATTCTGAAAAAAAAATTAAGACAAAAAAAAAAAAGAAAAGAAAAAAAAAAGAATTTTCGA